TTTGTGAATAGACCCCATAGGATTTACTTTTTCAAACCTTTGCTCTCTTACAGAGTTATTCACAAAATGTAAGGTGCACAGAAAATTACATGTCTGCTGCTAATGGATTGGCCTATATAAACCAGCCTGCCATATTCTTAGTTGCTGGATGATCTTCAGCTGGTTCCCTGTGTTCCTTGCTCCTGCCTTGTTTACTGACTTCCTGTATTTGACCCGGAAGCTTTTGACCATTCTCGATTGCTGCCCGCCTCCGGACCTCGGCCTGTTCATTGGACATCCTTCTGCCTCCTGTTTTGTACTTTGCTGCTCGGTTGGATTTGACCCTTGGCTTCTGTTTGGATCTCGCTCCTGTCTTCTGCTTCAAACACCCTGCTGCCCGCCCGGCTTGACCTTAGCTCTGCCTGACCTGCCTCCGTTCCAGATTCTGGACTTTCTACCTGGCACAAGTGTCTGCTACATCCTTGGCACACGTGCAGCTCGCTGTCACTCCTCCTCTGTTCCCATCCTCAGGGTCGAGGGACATGAGCTGCAGGGGAAGCCTCCTCGGTCGGTCTCCACCTGGCATTTGGCTCGGTTATTCTGCTCAGTTCCTCCGAGGTACCGAGCAGAATAGAAAACAAGTGAAAAGAATGTGAAAAAAAGTTGCAAAATGATAAAAAAATAGGAAAATTAAAAAAATATTTTAATTAAAAATAAAATTAAAAAAACAATTAGGAGGAGCAGGTCCCGGCCAATGAACAACAACTGGTCGGAGCCGGCCGTGGCGTCACAGCCGGCTCTGCCCAGTTGTTATTGTTTAATGACAGATCAGCATGACAGGTCATTACAATAGGGCGGAATGAGCCGTGAGATCACAGCTGGCTACGCCCAGCTGTCATTTGCATTGAGATCAGTTGGCTTCGGCCGACCTTTTCCCAACGCTTCGGCTGTCACTTTGGCTTCGGCTGCTGTACGGGCTATTATGAATAGCCCGTACAGCAGCCCTTTGGTTCGACTGAACCGAAGGGTAGAGGAGGCCGAAGAGAGCCGAAAGATTAGCCGAAGCTATGGCTGGATCCTTTGGCTCTAAGACCCCATTCACACTGAGCGTTTTATTGCGCGGATTTCCGTGCGATATCGCTCTGCAATGCAAGTCAATGGAGCTGTGCTCGTCGCTGTTGCACGTCGCTTGTACTGGACCCTTTTTTGGAGCGGATGTCGCGCAATTGTACTCAGCCCAATGCAAATATTTGCGTGATATCGCACGCTAAAATTTTTAAAAGTAGTGAAGTTTGTCTCAGTCCATATCTTTCTTCTTCCCTTTAGAAGAGCGAAAGCTATTTCATAAACTTCCTTTGCGAAAGATAGAGAAAAGAGATCAGTGGCATAATATAATTGTGGTTTAAACCCAGATGTTAGAAATGGATTTCTGCATCACTTGTATATTAATTATCACCCAGAATTCCCATTGCTGCAACAGGACACCACATGAAGGGTAGAACTATAAACAGCTTGTGTACAGCTACATTGACCCATTTAACCCCAATAAACTACCTTTTAAAACACCTTTTAAAACATGCTCAGATTACATATTCTTTTTTTTGGCATTCAAAATGAACTGAATGAACAGCTTCAGTAAATTTGTAAGAGAATTTAAAAGGATAAAAATAAAATGTATAATATAGTGCAATCAAAACCTTCACAGGAGAATGCTTGACAGCTGAAGGACATTGCAACTTATATTTGGGCAAATGTTGAACATCACATTGCTAGAGAGTAGATTAAGGTTAGGATTCAATGGATTTGAGGCAAATCCTCAATGTTTGAGGTTCATGGTCCTGGCATACTTATAGTGAATTCTGTAGCATCAAATTCTTTGTAGCCATAATTTATTGAATGGCTTTTGAACTTGGTCAACTGGGCCCATAATGGGGCTTTGTTATGTGTCAACCCCCTCAGCATAAAAGGGTGGGTTCTCAGCCACCATTTGTCAGTGTGTATTGGAGTAGTTTATGGAGAGCCGACAGGAAGTGTAGGGAGAGTTAGTTGCAATACTGTGCTATGCTGTGCTTAACCACTTCAGGACCCTAGAATGTACCTGTACTTCCTGGTCTTGAAGTGGTTATACCAAGATCATGGCTGCTGCAGGCGATTCTCATTTTGTACAAGTGATCTGGGCGGCTGTACAGCTCACTTGTTAACAGGGACCAGAGAAAGAGCAGCAGCAGACCGGGGATGTCTGTTCCCAGATCTGATCTTTGATTAGTGAGTCAGGAAGCACTGTGCTCACACCCCCCGCCATCGTCATGCGAATTAAATCATACGTGTAGGGCAATCACGAATTAAAACATACATGCAAGGTGTTCACGTGTATGTAAATGACTATTGCGCCACACCTCTTAGGTATCACCACAAACTACCGGTTATTCGGTATCGAGTACGATTACCAATATTTATGTCGGTACTCGCCAATACCGAGTGCCGATACCGGTACTTCCGTTAGCATGGAGTCGGCTTCCTGGGCAGTCATTAGCCACTGCCCGGCTTCTTGATTGCCCAGGAAGCCAGCTCCATGCTGATTGAGTGGGAAGCCGGCTTCCCACTCAATCAGCATTGAGCCGGCCAATCAGGAAGCCGGGAGGCAGGTCATTACCAGTCGCCCAGCTTCCTGATTGGCCAGAAAGCCCGCTCCATGCTGTTTGGCCAGGAAACCAGCTTCCCAGCAAATCAGCATGGAGCTGGCTTCCCGGCCAATAAGGAAGCCGGAAGCGGGTCATTACCCACCATCTGGCTTCTTGATTGGCCGGACAGCTGGCTCCATGCTGTTTAGCTGGCTTCCCGGCCAATCAGCATGGAGCCAGCCAAACAGCCTTCATCTGCCTCCTGGCCAATCAGGAAGCCGGGAGGCGGGTCATTACCTGCCTCCCAGCTTCCTGATTGGCCCAGCCAATGAGCATCGAGCCAGCCAAACAGCATGGAGTCAGGCTGGTCTAAAGAGAGAGGCGTAGGTTCTGTCCATGGAGGAATTTAGGGGAGAGCAGGTTCTGCAGGACAAAGTGGTGGTCAGGCCATAACATCTAGAAGGAGAGCATATCTGCCTTTTCTATCTTGGAGTGGCCATGCTGTACACCCACAGCATGCGCAGTAGGTAGTTGTATGGCTGACAAAGCCTTCCTCTTCTTCCTCCTCCCAGGTGCAGCACAGCAAGTTGGCTGAAACTGCTATTAATGCACACTCTTCTTCCTCCACCTCCTGTTCTTGCCCCCACAAACTTCTGATCTTCTGATCCCTGGGAAAGGAAAGGATGAGCAGTGGTGGCAGCAGTTGTCACTGCAGCCAGGCCCTGCTACAGACAGCAGTCACATGCAGCACCTGAACCACATGACTGCTGACTACATCAGGTCCAGCGCTAACACCTACACTCCCAAGAGTAATGAGACCTTCGATTATTGGGTGTCCAGGCTTGCACTGTATGCTGCAGAGCTTTTGGCTTGCTCTGCAGTCACTATGTTGTCTGAAAGGGCCTTTAGGGCAGCAGGAAGTTTTGTTACAGAGAGGCAAATATGCTCTAACATTGTGCCTCAGGAAGTCTCTCCCACTCTCAATTACCTCAAGGAACGTCTCCACATCAACCACAGAAGTCATCTTTTGTAGAGCAGCTTGCACATGCTTGTGCTCTGCAGTGGTATCATCCACCTTTGGGGGCCTTTCAACCAAGGCCACCTGGATCTGTCGCTGGAGCTGCAGGTTGAGGTCTTTTTGCAGAGTGGGTTTTGCAGTTTGTTTGTTTTCTGCTGAATGGTATTAGCTTGTTGCAGGCTAGCATTCATTTGGTGTTGGTTGGCATAGGCGTTGGCGTAACCTGCAGATGGGCATTCACCTGTACAAGCTGTTGAGTTAGCTCCTCCATTTTGGTAAAACTTAGAAGCCACAAAAAGATACACCGTCTTTATGGATACAGTCACTTTAAGAGCTTTGGCTGTTTAAGAAAGCTGCCTCTTTAAACATACTGTCTCTTTAAGGATTTTGCCTGCAACTATGTGCCAATTGTGAGATTGCACTCAAGGTACGAAGTCCATTTACTTAAAGAAGAAGTAATGTCAGGAAAATAAAGTCTCTTCTGCCAAAACAAAATCTTCCCCTAGTGATGTCTAATTTCAGGTGTACACTGTAAGGCAAATTCACTGTGGATTGTACACACCCAGCCCATTCACAGCATCTCTAACATGCTGTGCATGCGCTGAATGCCAGGAAGGATGTAACCCCTGTGCGCATGAGCAGGAGTTACATCACTAGTGACCACCCAATGGCTGAAGAGGGTTTCCTGAGAACACAGAAGTGAGCCTTACTTAGTCTAAGTGTTGAATAATGTCCCTTGTTCTAAGTAAAGTTCCTCTTTGTGGAAACAACAGCAGACATTAACAGGCCCCTATAGCACTGGCAGTCTTGCAACAGCCTCCAGCTGTAGAGCTTACAGTGGCTCCCTGAATTGACATGCAAAAACTCTCCCCAACACAGCCTGGTCCAGATCAACTTATCAGGGCAAAACCAAAATATGATCCACAGGATTGAGAGGCCATCCCACCCAAATCTCTGTAGAATTCCTAGTGAAACCAGCCCCGTGCATGTTTTGTAAAGGACACGAGGAAAAGATCTAGATTTCTTTACCTCTACGTCTTGCTGGCTTCAGCTAGAAAAAAATGTTTTTAAGATGCCATGGAGCAAGAAATACAATATACAATTTTCCAGACAACATAACCTGGTTTTACAGACACCATGTTACAGAATATATAAATCATAGGTTGCACAGTTTAACTTACCTACAGTTAAAAGGTACACAGTGCCCACTATAAAGAATTATGAAGTCTTTGTCTACCGCTTTTCAAAAAAAATTACAATAAGCACAGTATGCATGAAGTGCATTTGATTTCCACAAGCCACCCAGTGATAAAAGATTATAGCCTAAAGAAAGTATTGTAGCTGCCAAAACTACACAGAAAAGAAGCAGACAAATAACTTACCAAAATAAACAGGTTTGCCGCATATAGGACAATAAGAAATCATCTTATTCCAAGAGCAGTATTTAATACACAGATGAAGCTTCACTTCAACTGACAGTAGCTGCTATTTCATGTGCTCAGCTATTGCAGCAGGATGTTGTGGTATGTAAATGAGATGCTTTGATATAGTTTCAAGATAATCTCTCTTGAAGAAGATAACTGTAAACAACCATCTTTAGAAAATTAATTTCTCTCTTGTGCAAAATATTCTTATTATATAATGCTTTGTAACTGAAATAACTTACCAGTTACTTGTTTTAGTAGGTGAATATCTTATGTGTAACGATCATTCATTTTAGATTATGATGTTAAATATGTTAATACCAAAACTCCAATCTATTCATTTTAAAATGAGGAACCTTTGAAGTCACTAAATATAACCTGCTGACACGTTACCTTCCTTTGCAATGGAAGAACGGCTTATGCTCAGGTTGGCAGGTTTTTAAATTCTGAAGGTTAGTCAATAAAAAAAAAAATAGCAGTGTGCACAAGATAGTGCCTAACAGCAGCCAATCAGAATTCACTTTTCACATAACTTACCTCAGTAAATTGAAATGTGTTTGGTTTATCAATATATTTTTGTGTCCATCCCCTCTATTACATTGTTCTGACTATCATCCTATTCAGAAAAAGAGAAAGGAAAGTTCTCGTTACATCATTGGGTTTGTAGACTTTCTTTTCCAGTTCCGTTATCTTAATTAATATTAAGTCAACATATAATCCAGTTCTATTAAAAATAATTTTACTGTCAGTATTTATCTCATATTCCTAACCATGATTACGGACCAACAAGACTACTACAATACATGTACATATTCAGACTGAGAGGGCAGTATATTATTGAAACCAGTTAAACGAATGTAAGAACTTTAATATCTTAGGTGACAACTTTACAAAATAGGACTATAAAGGCTTGCGTATTTAGGGGTAGTTCTCTTTCCTTGACCAATTTCTCTGTAAGCAGACCCAGACTTACTTTCTCTGCTGCCCCAAGGCCAGGTTCCTCAATGTGCCCCCATCCCCACCAAATTTCCCCCAGATGGCGGGGCAGCAGGGTTGGTTTTAATTTTTTTTAATTTATTTATTTTTTACTTTTTTATCACTTGTACAGAACAAGCGGCGGCTACATTTAGGCCTGCTTGTCCAAAGCAGGGCTAAATGTAGAAAACAACTATCCATCTGGTGGCCAGAACTGCATGCCCCGGGCGTAGGGAGATATGAATTCAACACCACTGCTGCCCCTCTACCCCCTGCTGCCCCGAGGCCGGGCCTCAGTTGGCCTTGTGGGAAATATGGCCCTGTCTGTAAGCATGACAAACCACTGGTATAATGCTGACATCTGCAGATGAAAAGTTACAACATCCACATAGTTTGAAGGATTATTCAATATTTTGGCTAATTCGATGTTATTGGCCAGGGCAGTAAAATAATAATTCTTGTAAGCAATGGGGTTGCTGTAATAAAAGAATATGGACGGTTCACTATTCAAAGTACGATTCCACTGCTGAAAGTGAAAGATTAAAAGAGAACTATGGGGTAACTTTTTTTCCCCATAGTTCTCCTTATAGTCATGGGAGGACATGTACTAACATCCTCCCATGACCTAAAACTCAGTATACAGTGGGCTATTGCCCGCTATATGCTGAGAGTACCGCAGCCGGGATAAAGCAAACACAGCTTTTACTTTTTTACTAAGCTAGGGCGGCTTAAAGTAAATATTCACTTTGCTAAGTGAACTGTTTCTACTCTACTTTAGTAAATCAATCATAATGTTTATTGCTTGTTGCATTCTGTGATGTCTGTACATACTTTTGAAATATAATGTTGTGGAAAATGTTGAAATTTTCTGCGTGTTGCCAGGCTCTGTCTACAGCTGTTTATGGTTGCCTAAAACATTTATGAAATGTTGGTGTAAATTATTTTTCCAGCCTGCTTATTACCAGATCTAAATCCCAGGCACTGCATATCTTAGCTTCTCCTAAACCCTTACTCTAAATTCTCTTTCAAATGGCTTTTGAAACTTTCACGTGGGCATCCACCTTACCCTACCTATGACGTTCTGTAGGAGGTGAGTATTTAAAACTTTAAATAATCTGATGGAGACGTGGTAACACAGTACCATGTCCTGGTTCATCAGAACTAATGCCATCAAAATGATATGCCTGCCCAAACTCATCTATTATTTTAGTGTCCTGCCAATTTTTATGCTGCCACTTATCTTTTGGATTACCCAGAATTAACTCATGATGGGTTTCGTCAGACCTAGAATCAGTAAATAAAATGTATATAAACAAAAACTGTTTGGAGGCCTTACAGTTCCAAGCATTATCAACTGTTAGAATGCAACCTAAATTGGAATGTTGATGTTATATATTAAAAAAACAAGCTCTGCCCTGGACCCTACCTAATATGTCAGATTGCTACCCAACAGCCATCTCTTCTTTATTATGGGGTCTGGCATTTTTAAGACCCAACACTTTTCCAACACTCCTCATGTGTGTGTGATATAATCTGATGCTAAAGGAACCTTGTGTCACATTACCTCACCTTTGCATGCTGCCCATTTTTACCCCTGGGGGTAGCAGAACCAAATACATTTAGTTGATGGACCTCTAATGGCTTCCACAACATCTATTCACCCTAAACCTTCCAGCTTTTAAAAGAGTGCATATGCAAGCCTAACAAATAACTCTTGCCCTACCTACAGATCTGGCAGATTCCTCATTCACAACCAAACTTCTCTATTAACTCTTATAGATTTTAAGCGCAGATGTTATGAAGCTAAACAAAAATGGCAACCGTACCAATCATTTGAGGGCTTGTTCACACCAATTGTGGTGCATTCCAGAGCGGTAGCTGCTGAAACGCACAGCAATCGCACACTAAACTTCCCCCTTCCTTCCGGGACGTGGCGGTGCATTGAAGTCAATGGCACCGCAGCCACGCCCCCCTCAGTGCGTCCAGGCGCGTTCCGGTCCATGCAAAAAATAGAGCATGCAGCATTTTATTACATTCGCAGTGGACCGGAAAGCTGGCACTGTTTTGCCAGGTGTCCAATGTGTGGCTGTGGTGCCATTGACTTTAGTGCACTGCTACGACCCCTCCCACCCCTGAACGAAGGAGGAAGTTTAGTGTGCGATTTCTGTGCATTCCAGCAGCTGCCGCTCTAGAACGCACAGCAATTGGTGTGGACAAGCCCTTATAGCTAGCTTTTTAAAGTGCACATAGAATGTCCCTACACAGAACAAGCACACTCACCAGTTAGCCAGCAACAAAAACAAATTACACTGTCTAACAATTTGCATTAAAAACAACATTTGCAAACATGTGGACGCTACATGTGACAGCGTGGTTTACATGTTTGTAAATGTTGTGCAACGAAAACCTCTGTTTTTAACGCAGATTGTTAGACAGTGTAATTTGTTTTTACTGCTGGCTAACTTGTGAGTGTGCTGGGAAATGCTTGTGTTTGTTCTGTGCAAAGTAGAAAGACAGGTCACCAGCACTCGAGATAATTTAAATAAATGAGTCCTTTTTAATGGATGATTGTGTCACAATAATCAACAAAGACGACGTTTCGGGGCCGCTCAGGGTCCCTTCTTCTTTCCGCCTTGAAGAAGGGACCCTGCGCGGCCCCGAAACGTCGGCCATCGTGAAGTTCAGTATTACCGCACCCGAGAGACCATCCTACAAGAATCCAGAAAAAAGGGACCCTTATCCTTCCAAGTCCACGCATACCAAGTATTTGCCGGTCTTGCTTCCTCAACTATTGCCAAGCGGCGGGAAATGAAACCAGCCCTGCACCACTTGCAGCAATCTAATGTCCCATACAGATGGGATTTTCCTTTCCGTCTACTCTTCCCCCACAAAGGCCGTCAATACCAAGCCGTCACACTGGCGGAAGCCATGGGCTGATGAAAGAACTAGGCATTAAAGCTCCGGAGTCGCACCCGAGACACCCCTCTACTCCGAACCCGAGAGGTACACGGAACCAGACCCCTCCAGTGGCTTCCAATGCCCCACTGCCCCAGAGATCGCCACAATGCCAGAGGAGACATCTTGCTTCAGGGATCTCCGAATCAGACTCTGCCGGATGAACGGACAGTTTGGATTCTGTGCCAAGCCTTTCCACAACAGAGCCCGACAGCCGGGCCCCTGAACAATACTCACCTGTTCGGTACACGGTATCTGCTTTTTTCCGCTTAAGTACCTACTTTTTTCCCTCTCGTTGGGGAGGGGGGGTTTCTTTTATTTTTCTTTTTTGGAGTTCCACTCTAAATAGCTCCAGGTTGCCCTACCTGGGTACCCACCTGAGAGGGTGAAGTTTGTTTGGATCTTTTTTTATTGTGCATATGCATTTTACTGTTAACACTTGCATAGTCTAACCCTTTCCTTCCGTACCTTATCTATCCGCCTGGGCCTTTAGAGCTGACGATCTTTTGTCTCACCATGCTACTTTGCCCTGTGCCCACACCCAAATTTAAACCTCCAGCCATAACTGTGGTACACTCAAGCTATACCAATAGGCCCTCAATGTAAACAGGTGTCATTCCACCGCATTTCTTCCCTTAAGCAGCCCCACCCCCTTACACTACTGACCATTAGGGCTATGTTGTCATATCGCCTACCAAACTATCCGTTACCTGGTAACACATAATACCCCTATATTGCCCTGGGCTCCCAAAACCTCCCCTGCTACAAGATCCAGTACACCATTTCACGGAATACACCTTTAATGGTCGGAAGTGATAAGTTATGTTCATTGACGCAAACTTTGTGTTACCGTTTGTTTAGATAGATTCTTAGTCTCTCCCCCGAGACGCTGGGGTAGTGGTCACTGTACCCCCCCAACAGCCCTAGTTCGGATTGCTATCCGTCTGGGGACTATCTTTTCTGCCCCTCCACGCGGTCTCCCCTACTACAGGGACCGCGTAGCAATGGTCAGAACCTTGTGTTCAAAATGCTGTTCACTAACCTGTTGTTTTTGTTTTTGCTTTCTCTATCCTCTCCCTCCTTCCTTTACCTTCAGTCGTGATGCGAGAAG